TTTATCCGTACAACCGAGCACGCGTTTCGAATTTTCCTCTGCTGCGGGAATTCTCGAGTGCACGCGTTATACGAGCCCGAGAGGGTACATCATATATGTACGGATGCACTTTTACGGCGGTGTTTTTTTTTATTCAACGCATCAAGCCCCATTATGGTTTCAATAAAATTATACAACTACCTTCGTTTTTTTTTTTTTTTTACTAGAAGCGAGCCACACTCGTGTGCAGTTTTATCGCTCGCCATCTAGCTTTGCCTTTGGTTAAGCACCCATGGAGCACTTTCTCTATTCCTCACTCGAGCCGCTCGAGCTATCGCCGGGAGCCACCCTTTCAGCTCGACTCTTTGCTTCGACAGACGCTCGGCGATGGGGAAAAAAAAAAAAAAAACTGCAAATCGATCCTCGGGCACCGGATTGTAAAATTACTCCAGGCGATGGAAAATTTTTAATTATCGAGCCCAGCCGCGATTAACACGCAATCGAGTTACGCCGTTAAATCCCGCCAGGGTAATCAGACAGCGGCGTTGAATACCCGTGACCCCCTTCAACCCCCCTCCCGAGTACTTTGAAAGAGAGAGAGAGCCAACGCAGGGTCCAAACCTAAAGTGCCTGATTAAAAAAGTTGACGCAAGAAACTCTCGAGGGCCTTGATGATTTATTTTTTTATAATTGCTCCGGTCACACGCCAATATAGGGTGGAGGCGAAGGGGCAGGTTTTACTTTGGATTGTAAATGAGGCGAGAAACAACAGGAAGGGGAGGCAAACAGAACCGGCGTTAATTATGCAAGATTAATGGTCGTGGATTAAGACCCGAGACGCGTGACGCATATATATATGCACCTTCTTTGGTTATGGTTACAGGGGGGGGGGTGGATCTGTACCGCTCGGCTGCAAGTTTTCTTACACCCCCCCCCCCAACCTTCGTCACGAGCAGCTTGCGGCTGCGTTCTCGAGGACCGTCGCGCGGCTATGAATTCGTTCGTTCCGTCCATTAATATTCAGGCTCCTTCCAGCGGCACCTTCGCCCCCTAATGAATTCCAAGACCTCCCCCCCTTTTCTCCGTTAGCTGAAAAATGTAAATAACAAAAAGAAAGGGCAAAAGCTGTACCTGGTGGGGGAGTGTCTTATATACGGCGAATGAATTTAAAACGAGGGAAAAAGTCGCTCGATGATCGGGAAAAATGCCGCGGTCGGTTTTAGAGCGGGAAAATCGATGCGACAGAATTATAAAAAAAGAGGGTGGATGGGGGGGAGGGTTTGTAAAATGTACATTTTTAAGCACTCGGGCTGTATTGGGCGAAATCAACGTCACCCGCTAATTCAGATTCTTTCGCACGCCGGAAAATTTCATTACGCACCAAACCCCCGTTTTATTGCACGGTTCGGCAACGGTTATTCAAATTGCGGGCTATTCGTTAATTAAACCACGAGAGGCAGCATCGGAGCGTGAGAACGCGGGAACGTTCACCTGAGCGAGCAAAAATTACATTTCACGCTCCTACCTATATTGTATACTCCCCCTTGGCACGTAGGTATAGGCCGGAAGCGGCGCGATTGAAAAATTGCCGCGTGACGTTTTGACTTTGGTGTACTGACTGCAGGTAGAGATATACGTATATATATATGTATAGGTTGCCGTTGTGTCTGGCTCTGTTTTCCGCTCGCGTCCTTTAACTAGACTGCACACGTGTGTATGTACACTCGTGCACGCGTACACACCCGAGAGGTATAGGAAATGGAAAGAGCGAGCCAGAGACAAGGAGGATGAGGAGGAGGGTAGGCGGCACACTCACACACACAGATCGACTTGTTCGCATAATTACTCGATCGTTACCCTCGACGCCGAGCGCACGTATATATATATAGGGGTTGGGAGGGAGGCTGGGCTGACTGACTGACTGCAACACAATGCACACATAACAGCGGCAGCCGCGACGGCGCTCGAAGATGTGTGACTGTATACGTAGGTATGCAGAACAGAGAGCGAGCGCGATAATCTCGAAATCAATAAAGTGCTACCACCACCACCGCGGCGCGATATTCGTCTCTGTTCTCTGGCTCGTTCTGTTGGGGGTTTTAGCGCGCATGCCTGTACCCACCTGCTCACAAAAAAAAAAAAAAAAAAAAAAGGCAGGTTCAGCTTGATTTTTCCTCTCGACTGAGGGTTTTTTTTTTTGTTAGAGACGAGTGCGGATAACAGTTGTAGCTTTTAGCTGTTGGGTATTTCTTTTTTTCCTCTGTTCCGAAATACCTGGCCTAAAAATGCAACTTGGCCAAATATGTGTCAGGAAAATTCAATGTAGGGAACGAAAAAAGAGGGGAGGGGGGAAGTACGAGGAGGGATGAGCTTTTTATTTGTACACACGCGCATGTGAAAGATTTGGCTTCGCTCTAATTGGCGCACAGACAACTTTTGCCGCACCAGTTCCGTACACGCGCGGGGGGCAATCGTAAAAGAGCGTGTAACGCAGTTGAGTGAGACGTATTTTTTTTTTCAACCGAGCGAGGTGAGTTTCATCGGGCGCTTTTGAGGCTCGAAACGAAGTTTCGGATGGTTTTGACTCCTCGTGACTGCAGTACACAGGGGTTGTTGTTGTTGATTCAATTTAGGGCTTGACACTTGACTGTTAGTCCGGTGCGCGAGACCAGATCCAATTGCGCTTCCAGAGTTTTACCTCCGATGCATTGATACGCTTTTTCAAAAAAGCAAAGTTTTAGAAAATTAGCGTATTGATATTTAAAAAAAAAAAATCTCATTAAAACGTAAAAATCGAGTAAAACTTTTGCGACCCTCGACAACACAAAGCGAAAGGGAGGCTCAAACGAAGAAAGGAGGTATATATGTATACCACCCTCTTTGCCCGTATACTTGCGATGGGTGAAAAGCTACTTCCAGTAGAGTAGTTGGAGTACATACAGGCAAAAGAAAGAGAGAAAAGTGGGTGAAAGGGACAAATCCCATCTCGCTGAGATGTATGTATACACCTACTCTGTCGTCTTGGAGAGTCTCTCGGTCACTTAAACCGCACGGGTGTGTACGCGTTTTTCCCATCCTTTCCCACCCAACTGGACAGGTTGATAAATAAATAAGGAGCTAGCCGAGGGAATCTCTCCGCCCACCACTAGATCGAAGCACCTACGCGGGAGTCTGGTGGGTACGTCTATAGAGGCCAGCGAATCAATTCCTACCCGTATCTTTTCCGCGCTGGTACTCTCCCCCCCCGCCCCTTCCCTCGGAGAGCTCTACATAGCACGCGAGGAGAGAGCAACAAGTGCCGAGCTAAGAAACGGCTCCGAGCGCCCCCCCCCACGTCTTTTCTTCTCCCACCCTCCTGGACCACCGGGTTTGGGCGGAAGCATTCCAATAGACGTATTCGAATCAGATCGGGGGAAGGTGGTGGCAGCCGTTATTCTTCCTCCCCCGTTATCTGTGTACTCCCAGGGTCCGCTCGCCTCTTTTTGTCGTTACTCGCCTTTTATCGCTTCTCAGCTATTGCTCTGTATATACATACATATACATATATAGTCAAGTCACCCTCTCTTACCAGACAGTCGGTCGGGCGAACCGTGCAGTTAAATTTACGATTCGATTGTGCTGGCTCGCCGCTCATATACACTCGTGTGCATATAATATAACGGGGTTTCCATGGCCTTCGAGTTTTACGAGCTGTTTTTTATATACGCTCGGTTCGTTTGGTTGCAGGTGGCGCAAGACGGTTTCTCTGAATCTTACACGAAGGGGGGGGGGTAAATCTTTGGATCGAAAGTCACGAGGAAGAAGGACTATACCACGTGGGTGTAGTGTAGAGTTGCCGAATGAATTTGGCAAAGAGTCGCGAGAAAAAGAACGAAAATAAAGGGGGTGAGGGTAAAAAGAGGGACAGCATACCAACAACATACCCGAGATAGCCGAGCGCCGTAACTCATCCCCGGCTCGGAAAATCCATTTTGCACGCGCTGCACCCACGCAAAGCACACGTAATCATAATAATAATAATAATACCTGTGCACGAGGAGGGTGCATTTAGGTTCGTTTCAGAGATAAAAATTCGCATTGGTGCAGCTTTTTCCCATTTCGCCCCGTACATGGAAAAGAGACCGGCTGCCAGGGGTACGTGTGTATATGCACACATCTCGGCTGGAATGAAAATGCGCGACGATTTCCCCGCTAAGAGGCGGCAGGGGGGAGTAAAAAAGAGGTCCTCCTCCCTTTATTCCCTTTGAGCACCGGTGGCTGCACCGATAATCGCTCCGCACCGGGGAAATGAGATTTTTCCCCTTCCCCATTGCTTTCCCCTTCGGGCTTGACAAGATTGTTCGGAGCCACACTCACCCCACCACCCCTCTTTTTTTTCCACTTGATTTTCCATCTGCTGCAGACGTCGGCGCTTTTTCGGACTCTGCAGAGTCGCTCTCAGTTATTTTTTTTATTTCACCCGACTCTCTGGCTCTGTTTTGTTTACGGCACGCACAGTACTCGTAGCGACAGGACGCAAGCAACTGGGTGGTTTTCGATGTGCAGCAAAACCCTTTTCCGAAATCAGGTCTCGATAAAAAAAAAAAAAAAGGACTCGGGCGATCAATTTACCTCGAAGTCGTGGACCGCAGGCCCCGTGACGATCAATCCGGGCAATCGGGGACAGTGGCCTCCGCGATAAATCAGCGGAGACGCGCTGGAGTCGTAAAAACGCCCGGGCGGACGAAAAACAGGAGCCGGAAAGGAGGAGGAAGCGGGAAAAATAAAAGGAAAGCCGGCCGGCGGGGCACAATGGACCCGGACTGGAGTGAAGAACACTCGGGAAAAGAGCCACCTCGGGTGCTTATAGCAATCCGGGCAAGAATAGAGAGAGAGAGAGAGAAATGTGTACGGGGTTGAATCAATCGGTGGCGCGCAACGGTATAGGATATCTTCAGTACACACGTATGAACCCGATGATGAATCATTCGATTGAATGAAAAAAAAATTGGTGGATTAAGCAGAATTGAGGGTGTACTCACCATGAACGAGGAAGAGGATGTCGGTGCCGAGGACGAGGAGTAGAGTCACTAGTCTCGGGAGCGGCTGGCGAGCGGCCATCCTTCCGTGGATCGTTACGTCGACTCTGCAGCTTCCTCCTGAAACAATACACGGGCTTATTTACATACGCGCACAAAAGGCTTATCCCCCTCGATCGGTCAACCTATCCGATCGCCAGCCCTGGATCCTATCCTTCCCTCGTGCACACCCATCAAGCATACACTTCCTCCTTCGGCTTCCTCAGCCGAGCGCAATCTCGTGCACACGAGGCTTGCTCTGCCAGTGTCTCTTCTGGCAGGCTGCCCACGCACTTTGCTGTCGTCTCGGCCGTGCAGGGCTCTCCTTTTGACAATTCGGCAGGTCGTAAGGTGCGCGGTAGGGGCACGAAAGTCACTTTGCGGAGGCTGATGTTCTTCCGCTCGCGGGAGCACATACGTCGCCCTTTTCTCCTCCCCCCAAACCGAGTCAGCAATAATGGTATCACGGGTATGGAGAAAGCGCGAGCTGACCGATGCCTTGCTAATCTTTCCACGTCCCGGCTCATTTTTTTTTTTTTTTTTTTTCCACTCCGCCGAGTCGTCGCTTTTTCCACGTGCCCGGGCACATGCCTCCTTCTTCTCCTTCTGTTACCGGATACCCACCCACCACTGCGTCAATGGGCGACCTCGGGCTTTTTCTTCCGTTTTTCCATTTTCGTCCCTCGTGTGGCTTCGAGGTGGGTCCGCGACGCGAAATCGCGTTTGCTCGGGTACGTACAGCAGCCAAGCGAGCGTTAAAATGAAATTTCGAGTCTACGCTCGCGTGTGGCTTTTCTTTCCCCCCGCTCCCCCCCCGCCTCTCGTTCATTCATCCCTCGTGTATCAAATGAGGGTTTACTCCCTGGATTTTGGGCTCACTTTACTTTAATCGGTTCTGGGATACACGAGTCGTTCTATAAACAATTGTTTCTTTTGTTTGAAAATTTGAGAAAAAAATTCGAGTGTTTTTTTTTTTACATGTATATAGGACTGGTCTTACTTTGTGTAAACTTAGGCCGGTCTGAGGAGCTTTTTTACAAAAATTTGAGTGCTTTTTGAGTGAAAATGAAGAAAAATAATGTTTGGATTAAAAGTTGTATGCAACACCAGCTATCTTTTATTACTTTTTCTAAATATTATTGCAAAAACATCTCTTGTTTTTAAACAATACTTTCATCCTCGCAAAAAAGCTTGATTTTATTTAGTGGATTTTTTTTTCACGGCATCGCTCGGGTAACGACAACCGCATAAAAGTCGAATAAAACCCTCGATTTTTCGCATCTCATTCGCAGCCGTCACAGCGGGAGTATCGGTATCATCGAAAAGCCCCTCCCGAGCAAACGAGCCGCGCCACCGTTGCCTCCACCTCTTCGCAAAGTTTGTTCTCCTTACGCAAGCTGCCAACAACAAACATCGGGTCCCGGCCATTTTGAATCGAGAATCGGTTTAATTGCCGGAGTTTGCCCGCGGCGATGGCGCGAGGCGGTATAAGGCAGCTCGTCCCGACGAAGAATGGGTGGTAGTAAAAAAAAAAAAGAAAAAAAAAAAAAAGAGAAGTTCCGGCATAAAAGAAGAAAGGTGGGTAAGTTCTCGCGAACACCTACCCCCGGCTCTTCCCACGTACTGGCTCGGACATAAAAGAGGACGGTATAGGGGGGGAGACCGAAAGCTAACGAAACAATCCCCTGGAGCGCCAGGCGCTAAGCTTTACAGTGGTTGGAACTTTTTTAAAGGCCCGCGTCCTCGCGCGTGTGTAGGGAGGGAGAAAAACTTGGGCTTCTTCGGCCAACAGCGCGAGTTACCGGCTACTATGTGCTGCGCGTCTTTGATTTTATAGTGCTTGAGAGTATTGTGCGCGGCCAGAGTTTTAGGCGACGGAAGGAACTTTTTTCTTTTTTTCCCCCTTCCTTTTCCCGTACCAATGCAATCGTATAGGTATACACAGCTCTGGGAGTGATTACGGACACAAAGACCAGGTGACTATTCCGATCAGGCTGGCGATTAGGTTTCATCCGCGTAAAGGTGCTTTGGTGGAAACTCACCAACAATGCACACGTATATATATACGGTCTTATCATATCGGTCACTGTAATTACTCCGAGTATATGTCAACTTGAGTTAACTACATTGAGCAAAAAGAGGATTTTTACATATTCTAATACTGAGAAACTATACCATTGATCTCTGATGTACAGCGACCGTGATAAAATTCACAAATTACTTTTTTTCCCCGTTTTTAACAAGCAAATATCCATAGTATTGTGTTAAACAATGACACCCTTACCAAATAACCCTCTCCCCTGTTAACAAAAATAAAAATAAATAAATTAAAAAAACCATAAAAGGCAGGCAGTACTTTTCAAAATATCGAGGTACAGCAAAGCATCAATTTCCCTTCTTTTCCTACGCAGATATCACGGGTAGGTGGGCGTTTGTGCGCAGTTTACCAATCATCCGATAATTTGACGATCGATGAGTAGCAAACACGTGAGCCACTGCCGATAGACGGATGGAAAAAAATACATATTAGCTCTGCGGAGCGGTATAATTGCGTCGCAATTACGAGGCTTAGGCACATATGGCGCTTCGAGCAAATGGACGCGCGTAACTGTGTACTCTAGGGTCTATACACGCACGAATTGAGCAAATATCATTTATATGTATCATCCTTTCTTGACTTTTAATTGCCAATTAAATGATAAACGCGTATGTCACGTGTTTCACTGTTGCAAAGAACTGTAACATCAGCCCATACCAATCGATTTGTTGGGAGGACGCAGCTCTAAATACCTGACCCAAAGAGCGCAAGAGAGGCTTCAAGAAGGGTGTCGTCGAAAGTCCGATCGTTAGAGTTAAACAACACTTGTGCATCCCGATTGTGAATTTCTTAGCACTCGGTGGCGGACTTGTCCTGCAAGAACAAGGAGGGGGACAACTGTGTCGCGAAGCCTCGACGCAAGAGTCACCGAGGCCCTCAGACCCGTCGTCGTCGTGTTCTCGAGAGTTTCGAGACCTGCCGAGCAGAGAAACGCCGAGAATCAAACGATTTTACGCTCCAGATTACGGAGGTCCCCACCCTCCCTTCCTCTCTCTCTCTCTTTGAGGATCGGCGAAAATTCTCCCTCCTCGTCGAGAGGCAGAAAAAAAAGGAGGTTGGTCGGGAGGAAAAAAAAAGGAGCCCTGGAAAAGGGAAGTTGGAGAGAGAGAGAGAGGTAAAAAAAAAAAAAAGATTTCTTCCTCTCCAGCCTAGTGGAGAAAAGCAAGGTCCTGTGTATGTATAGCTTGAAGCACGTGATGCTCGAGTGCTCGAAGGAGGGAAAATGCTACACACAAGTCGCATGCGTTTGCTAAATCGGTACGTGTGCCTTTCGAATCACATGTGTATTCTCGATGGTCCGGAAAATTGCAGGGGCTCGTAAATTCATCCAGCCTACGTGAAGTCATATAAAAGGATACCTGGATTCGTATACGTCGTTTTAGGAAAATTTTTTCGTCCCCCGATATTGTGGAAAAAATTGCAAATCATTCCATACGATGGGAGGAGAAGAAGAAGAAGAAAAAAGCGAAGCCGAACAAGAAGAACAAAGTCCATTCTTCTTCTCCTCTGGCAGTGCACTCGAGTTGGCCTCCCCCACGAAAATCGAGTAATACGATAATAGCCTTAGGTTACCTATATGTATACACACGCGCAATATCAATACATCTCCTCGGACTCTCCGTTGGCCAGGCGGACTCTACAGCACCGATCGAATCTCAACGAGAGGGTATTTTAAGCGTCCCCTCTCCCTCTCTCTTGGTTAGGTACAACCTTCCAAAGTTCCATGTATAAGGCGGTTGGCAAAAAAAAAAGAGAGGAGCCGAGCTCTTTTCAATGAGCTCCTTTCTCGATTCTTTTCCGCTGTCGCCGGCCCAACTTTACGCATTTACTTGCTCCCGACTTTTTCCTCCTGCCACCGAACTTCCTCCCTCCCGCGTACACAAGGAAAAAAGAAGAAAAAAGTAGCAGCCATCGTCTTCGTGTTTATGCTGCCAGCGAAAAATCAACTTCCCCCCCCCCCACATCGGCCTACGGTCGTTGCATGTACAGCCCCATCGTTTTCCGTATCGGAGAAAACTTTCCCAGCGCTCGATTTGTGCGGGGCAATAAATCAAGCCTCGCTCGCCGCCTACGACCCCACCAATAAAACCACCCGAATGTTTTTGGCTTCGTGGATTCTCGTACACCTACATGTGTATACACGCGAAAAAAGCCGGGAATTTAATGCGCAACTCGATTGTTCTGTATCGAATTGAATCGTAGCGCGAACGAATGACGAGAATACAATACAAGCGCGAGTTTACCTCTCGGCTCTAGTATCGAATACGCGTGCTTTCGCGTCACTACAGGCACGCACAATTAAAACAACTTTACGTGAGCTCGGAGCCAAATAGAGAGAAAGGCCCCCACGAACCTGGCACACCATAAACTCCTGGCTCATCGCTCAACACTCGCTACCGTGGCACGCTAATGAATATAACAGGAGAGCCCTTTAAAAACGCGCAACCGGAGCGCCCGAAAATCCCAAGGAAATAAGATGGACGTTGGCACCACACAGGGGAGACGAAGAGTATGGACGGCACACAGAGTAGCCAGTGAGTGGGCACAAGAAGTGGGGAGGACGGGGATGACAGCTCGCGCTAAAAGCAATTTCCCGAGTGGTATACATGTAATCACTTCAGCCTGCACCTATATACCCCCCTACCCGGCAATTAAGCCCCCTCTCTATTAAGACCCGAGTAATTGTGCGCCCCGACACTTGGTTGCCCTCGCGAATTCTCTCCACCCCCTCCTTCTAATCATCGCCCAAAGGGAGGAGGGGGTTTAGGTATATATAAGGAGAGCCCTTTTCCTTCTGGCTGTATACAGGGGGTGCTGGTCCAAGATGTACGCGCACAGGTATTGATTACACACCTCGCGTGTACACGCGCGTGGGGTACTCTAATTGGCCCTTGGGGTGTCTTTCTACCCTCCCCACTGGAAATCAAATTACGCCGCGCTCGCATCCTCCGTGTCCCCTTTCGTGGTTCCTGGGCACGGGAGA